GGGCAGTAAAAGCACCAATAATTGAAACAATTTCTTGAGGCTAAGACAGGCAAATATACTTATAGGCGAGTATAATTAAAAAAGATCAAAAGCTTGTGCATCTGCCTGAGCAGAAACAGGCTACGTATTTTAACAGGTATCATTACCAGAAATTTCCGACTCAATGGAAACCTTAGTAAACTAAGAATAGTGTAAGATGGTGAGTGCAAATTCTGTAGAGGACGAAACCTCCATTCACATTCTGACTGAATGTGTATCACTCTAGAATCTAAGGGTACTATATTAAGGAGCATAACAAAGAGAAGAGGGCAATCTACCTAACTAGAAGCCACTCCAAATTATAAACTTCTTTGAGAAAATAGGATTGGAAGGGTCGTTATAAACATCAAGACTATTTCCTTGCTGCATTAGAATGGGATACAATAGCTCTTTTAGGTCGCAGTGTATTAATACCACATACCGAACATAACCTAACATATGAGGGGAATATATAGTTTAAAATTATAGAAGGATCATTTGGTTGTCGATTTTCCTCAAGGTGAATCATTTCTCATTATTACTTCACAAAAAATTTTAATCTAAAAATTATTCAATCATCTTATTTAAGTTTTAAATACTGTTTAAACTTGTTATGCGTTTACCACTTTTGATTGCCTGTTATCACACAATATTCGCTCATCACTTCAAAAATTTAAAATGTGATAATCTTAATACCGCTATTTTTAGGGGGTAGTGTGGCTCAGTGGTAGAGGTTCCCAGGTTCTAATCCCACCGTTGGCCAGGATTTTTTAATTTTATTTAATTATTTAAAATTAATTCTGATGCCTTGTTAGGATTCCCCACTCAACCTTTCACTGTTGGGTTCTAATTAAAAGTGCTGTTCCTAAAGTGGCGCAAGGAAACAGTAACAAGGCCTGTATGTAGGGGTATAGGAGTATTAGATTATTAGTACAATATATAACCTACATAGAACACAAGGCTAATGACCTTAGTTGTTGGAGCCAACGACACCAATTGGATCGTTTTCTCCTAACTTAGCCTGATCTCCTTGCTAGTATACCTACTGACTAGCCTATTAGTCTTAAGCGTGTTTTTTGTCCCATTTACCGTGAAGAGATTTGATCCTTTATACCGCTAATTTACACTTAATTGGGTATATCTACACCTTTTTGGTAAGTGATTCCTTTATCAGAGTAGTCACTCATTCTTTTCTGGTGTTTTTCTTCTGAGCTAAGGGGACTGCCGCACACTCACCTGGAGATCATTCAATTACCAAATGATCCTTATCTACCAGGTGTTTAAAATACCTGTTCTTCTATTACTTTTTAAACTTCATATTGCCCTCATATACTTTTATTTCTTTTCTGTCCCTCGACGTCAAGATGTTTTGTGTATTTATTTTGTTACACTATCGAAAAGATGTATAACCTTTTCTTTTTAAATACTTATTACGTTACTATTTTTTAATTTTTAAGGATATAAACCTGTGTTAAGTTCTATGCCCTAAAAATGGAGTTAGAATTTCATAGTCTACATTTGTAGACACTGGGACATTACTTCACTTCTAATCGTACCCTATATTGAATATTTTATGGACATGGCAGTTGTAAATTGCTGGAGATAATACCGGGGAGACTGTCAGTTCCAAGGCATTTCATGAAAAAATATTATGGATGTTCTGGACTTTAAGTTGCATTGTAGTAAAAAAAATTAATTCAGAAAATGAAATTAAATAGTTTTTAATACCGCCAAAAATAAAAAACCTGCAGAAATATCTTCAATGAATTTATTGCCAGAAAAATAAATAAAATTGAAGAAAGAAAATCTTTTTTGGAATATATGTATTATGTTTGGGATTGGATATTTTACAGAAATATCCACAAAATATAATTAAATGCTCGACAATATAAACAAATTAGTCAATTTCTTTTATTTTAAAATTTACAATCACTACGGTTACTAGTGGAAGTGGTAGTTTAAAAACTTTACATGCGTGTAAGGTCAGTCTGAGTTTCCCTCACTACTTTATGGAATATGCCACACTTGCGCAACTTACTTATTCTTGCCTACCTATAGGCCTACTTTAGAAACAATTTTTGTGGTTCTCTCGATATATTGTTTATATTTTCGAGTGGTAGATGATAATAATGAAAATATAATGAAAATTAGACTCCAGTTGTATTTTTTACTTTATAAAAGCTAAATATTGTTACGCAGCACCCGACAAGGTGCTGCAGTCGTCATAAGTCATAAGTCGTCGTAAGTAAAGATAGAATAGTCTAGAAATGTCTCAAAATGTCATTTCTTGTCAAAGATTGTTCGAGAAGGTTCTAAAAGGTTGAGGCAAGCTATATAAGTCGACGACTTGACGTCAATTTTTAGTTTTATGATGGACGTTATGCGTTAATGTTATCAGTTCATGGTAAATACTAGATCCACTGAGTACGAAGCAGGCATGGATACTTCAGGCCCACCAGCATGTTTTTTGTAGATGGAAGAGGAAAAGAAAGAAGAGAAAGAAAAGGAAAGGCGTAGGAAGGAAGAAGAGGAGGAAAAGGAAAGGCGTAGAAAGAAAGAAAAGGAAAGGCGTAGAAAGAAAGAAGAGGAGGAAAAGGAAAGGCGTAGGAAGAAGAGGAGAAAAAGGGAAGGCGCAGGAAGGACAAAGAAGAGGAAAAGGAGAAGAGGCGTAGAAAAGAAGCGATTGAAATTATGAACGGTTTGTTACAATTCCAGGAAACTTTCAAGCAAGAGGTTGGTCATCTTGACAATAAAGTAGATCTTTTGGCACAACAACAAGATATTTTAAAAACCAATGTAGAACAACAGCAAGAGAAGTTAGAAACTAATTTAGAGCAACGGGAACATCTAACTCGTTTAAATCAGCAGCAACAGCATTTAAAAAACCAATTTAAATTAGAGCTGAAATGGTAGAGTTAGAAAGAAGAATACGTAGCCAAGCTTCGGTAAGCAACCTGAAGCTGAAAACACTACCTCGTCTGCATCCATAACCGAACCAAGCCACATTCGAATTCCAGTTTCACAAAACTATACTAGCAAGACGGTTAAGCCACCCACGTTTGACGGTCAGAAAACATGGGAAATATATCGACTCCAATTTGAAGCTGCGGCTACAGTCAGTGGCTGGACCGAGAAAGAGATGGCGGCTTCATTGATAGTGTCACTGCGAGGTCAGGCAGCAACCGTTTTACAGTCACTTCTTCAAGAGAAACTCAGTTATTCTTTTCTCGTCCAAGCTTTGGAGACAAGATATTCCCAACAGCATTTGAAACAGGTATTCCAAAGCCAGCTAATAGTTCGTAATCACAAACACAATGAGAATCTACAAGAATTTGAAACCGATATTAAAAGATTGCTCCATCTGGCCTATCCACAGGTACCTAAAGATTTCTTAGAACAAATCGGCATGCAAGCATTCATTGATGGACTACAGGACGTGGAAATGCAACAGGCTCTTCGGTTACAACACCACAAGACGTTGAGTGAGACACTTATTGCAGTCCAGGAATACGAAACAGCAAAAAGTATATCTAGATCTTCTTGCGCAAAATTAAGAGAAATTCAATTTCAAGAAAGTGAAGAGATCACTACTAATACTATCCCTCAACCTACCCTCTCACAAATCTTAAATATCCTGCAAAGTATGTAACGAAATAGTCAAAATGAAAGCAGAAGATGCTTCAATTGTGGTAGAATTGGACACCTTCAAAGATCTTGTCGAAGCAGGGCTCGTTCTATAAATCGAGAATCGAGGAATGACACTAGAAATTCACCTAGATCAACTTCCCGAAGCTCGTCACGAAGACCATCCAGGAATAATTACAGCAGATTACGGGAAGGGAGTTGAAGCTTCCCCATGATCTTCTATTTGGAAGAAGAGGGCCGTACACCTCCCACGTACATACAAAACTTAAGTTTGAAAGTCAATAGCGATAAAACAAAAGCTAGAATCGACATGCATGCCACAGAAACACATTTTGAGAGAGGCGATCCAGTATGGCTGTACAATCCCAAGCACCGAAAAGGACTTTGTCCAAAACTGCAACGGAATTGAAAAGGCCCCTTCACCGTCCTTAAGAAAATCAACGACCTGATCTACCGCATTCAGTTGTCAGCGAGAATTAAACCCAAGGTAGTTCACATTGAAAAGTTAGCGCCATACCGTGGTCCAGATCCTCCCCATTGGCTCCAACCAGGTCCCATTATTCAAGTTATTCGGGGCGAATAATTAGAGAGGAGGGAGCAATGTTACGCCACACCCTACAGCGTGCTGCGGTCGTTATAAGTAAAGATACGAGTAAAGGAAGAAGATAGAATAGCCCAGAAATGTCTCGAAATGTCATTTCTTGTCAAAGAAAAAGTCGGATTGTTCGAGAAGGTTCTAGAAGGTTGAGGCAAGCTATATAAGTCGACGACCTGACGTCAGTTTTACTTTATAGCACTTTTAGACGGTCAGGTCAATTCTTTGTTCAGTCTCAGTCGAACTGTTAGTTATCTGCATGTGTACACAAAAAACTGTAAGAAAAACTGAAACTGATACGGAGCTGTAGCTCTATGGGTATACCAAAAGTTATCGTATCAGTTGTCAGTTAAACGGATGTATAAACAAACCTTAACTGACAACTGAAACTGAAAAGAAAAGTGATATGACCGTTTAAAAGGACCATTATGCGTTAATATTATCAGTTGTATCGTTAGTGTAAAAGTTAAGTTGAAATAAATTTAGATACCAAAAACCTGCGTAACAATATTGAACACTGATTTGCATGATTGCACTTTCGATAGGCAAAAATGAATTTTTTGGACTTTCACTAGTAGACTGATAAATTTTAGCCGTTTTTTGGAGAGTGGAAACATCATCGCTCTACAGAAAACAAAGTCTATATTTATTGTAAACAATAACAATGAAACAATAAATCTCATTTGTTATATATTATACATAAAATTTTTTGTAAGCAATCAATATTATGTATATAACAAGTACTTTTACCACTCGGTAAGGATATTATCATCAACAGAAATTTTAATACTGCTGAGCGCGCTACTCAGAGAGTAGGTAATGAAAGATTTCTGTCTCTCAATATCCTCATCGACATTGAACGAAACACCAACATCTTGTAATGAGCACGGTCGAAATTTATACAACTCCAATCCTTTCTTGATAATCCTTGGAAACGGCACCATTTCACCAGTGTCCATCGCGTGTTCGCTGACTCCTCTAGCTTGAGTTGCCAGTGATACGCTACAGAGATTTTTAAATTTTTTAGGAACAATGTTTTTATGTAAAGCTACTTCATCGTAATGTCGACCAAGATTTTTCGACTTTTTTTTAGATTCAATTTTCGATTTTGGTACTTCTGTCTGTGGTCCTATAAGCATTTTATTTTCTTCGAACACCTTTGGATTGATGTTTGATTTCATATTTTCTAACAATTGATTTATTCGTTCTCGGGTTTTACGTTCTTTTATAATTTCTTGACTGGCAAATTCCCAATAATTGTTTACTTTCTTAAATTGTAGAAGCTCTTCGTTGGAGAAGTAACTCAGTATTTTTTTTACGATCCATATTGGTAGAAGTTGGATTAGGTCAATGTCGCAGTCAGTTCTCGTTTGCTTTTCCTTTTCTTTTAATGGGCGTTTAGTAGCCTTTTTATCGCCTTTATCCCCTTTATCGCCTTTATCACCTTTATCGCCTTTATCGCCTTTATCACCTTTCTCTTTCTCTAAAGACTTGCTGCTAGATTCTGGAAAAACAGATGTTACCTCTTTTCTGTATTGTTCAATAAGGTCAAACCTGTAAAAAATACCATTTTTAGACAAAAATACTAGACGAAAACTGCCTAATCTTTAGGTATGGATGGTGGTACCGAAAATGAATAATTTTATGAAATAGGCAACTTTAATATACATAGAAATTATTTCAAAATAATATTAGCCATACCAAAAAAGGTTTTAAAATTTTGTTGGTTAGACAACTCTGGAACTGGACCACTGATTTTTTATTTTTATGCACGCCGTAGTCAGTAATAGACACAGTTGATAGTAGACAATATTGGGGCAAGTTCGAGATAACGCCCTAAGATAACATCTCGAACGCGCTCTGTCACTCAGAGTAAAAAACATAACCTCAGTCCAGTATGTCAGTCAAAGGTCAGTTAATTATTCTGCATTACAAACGAATAACATAAGATAAACTTTCAGAATTTACTTATAATACTATATATGAGTTAAATAATTTTAAAATACAAATAGTACCTAGCACAAACCCAGAGAACAATATCTGCCGTTCATTGACATAATTGACATTTCATTATTTAACTTCCCCACTTTGGGATCAAATCATTTTGTTGTCCACATAGAGCTTCTGTCTAATAGGATAATAGAAGAAATTAACCCTAAAAGTAAATGGAATATAAAAAAAGCCAACTGGCCATTATATACTGCCTCCATTGAAGTTTTTTTTTTTTTGAAAATAATTGTTATCAAAAATCGAAAGTATTTCTGAGAAATATCAATTCTTAATTAATAGTATAAACAATGCTGCACAAATATCAATCCCACAATATAAACCGTTAGCATGCAAACTTCGTAACCCTCCACCATGGTGGAATGTGGATTGTGACAAAATAATTAAAGAACGGAAATTATCGATTTCAACTTATAAACAAAAAGCAAATTTGGAAAAGAAAACTTAAAATGATAGCAAAAGAAAATTGGGTAAATTTTGTTTCTTCGCTTAACAAAACCGTACCATCTTCCACGCTCTGGAATCAAGCTAGAAAATTATACAGAAAACCTTTTGAAGAGAAATGGGTAGAGGAATTTTTTGACAAAATTGCTACGCCATCTGCTGAACCCATTCCGGAGAGTGAAACAAGCGTAAATAATCAAAAACATTGTTTACTAGAACCTTTAACTCATGCAGAACTAGACTATGCACTTAATAATAGAATGAATACCAGTCCTGGTTATAATAAAATCAAATATCCCATTATCCAACATCTCCCCAGTATTGCCAAAGACATGTTACTGGACATTTTTAAGGGTATTCTTGAAACACCAAAAATAAATCAATTTAAGGAAGTTGTTGTCATTCCAATTCTTAAACCAAGAAAAGATTCAAACCTCGCACAATCTTTTTGGCCTATCTCTCTTATGTCCTGCATTCTTAAAACCTTAGAACGAATGATGTAGAAAATATATTATTTACGAGCGCCTATGTATTATTTTAATTTTGTATGTAGTAGTTTATGAATGTCACTTTTGATAATAATTTTGAATGTTCATGTCAATTACAATTTTGTAATATATTTCAAGTTTAAACGTAGTATTTCCTTTGGATTTATTATTTTACATTGGTCCTTCGTGTTAATTCGAACGCGCTATGGAAAACAGGACATCAGTCTCTGAAGTTGGAGTCCGTAGGAGCAGAAGAAAAAATTTTGGAGTCGCTCCAGAAAGATATCCCGATTCAATACTTCCTAGTGAAACGTCTAAGACTAGTATACGTGCTGCTATGTCACAGAATTCACCAGGAAAGAATAAGTATCATTCTGAGGATAATCTGGTAGCAAATTTCTCTTCTCGATTGGAAGTTCAGAACAAAACTGATGACTGTTCTGATACAAATATCACTTTAAAAAGTAAACCTCGTTCCTGTCGCTCAAATCAGTCTCAATTAGCTACATTAAGATTAGACTTGGAGCTCATTCAACAACGTGAAAGGTTGGAGGAAGAAGAAGCCCAAGAAAGAATGAAGGCTATTAGTAGGAAGAACGAAATTTTAAAACAAAAGATTGATACTCAAAAGAAAATATTAGAACTTGAGCATTGTGCTAGTGTTTCCTTATCATCTCCTTCATCTCGCCATACTAGTCGCCCAAATAGTTTCTATGGAGGAGAAGAAATAAGGAAGTGGATAGAAGATGGAAAAAATATATCTGAAATTGTAAATAAAGATCAACTTCCTAATTTATGTCAAGAAGTTCCTAACACAGATAACTTCATCAATTATCAGCTAACTAATGATAATTTAAACAACTCTATGTCTGTTCAAATTGATAATAAAAACACCGACCATAATCTGCTTTTAAATATTGCCAAGCAGTGTGTTGAGAATACTGCAAATACAAATAAATTCCTCTTTGGTCAAAGGTTGAGAGATCTGGTACATTTTTCTGGAGAACTTAGTGAATGGCCAATCTTTATTAGTGAATTTCGTAGAACTACAGATGCTTATAGTATATCCGATGCAGAAAATCTGATTCGATTAGACAGAGCTCTTCGGGGAAAATCTAGAGAAACAGTTCGAGCTTTATTGACATCTCCTAATAATGTTCCCAAAATCATCAGAATGCTGGAAATGAATTATGGAAGAACCGAATGGATAATTATGTCACTAATAGATAAAGTTAGAAAATTTGCGCCAGTGAAGGAAGATCGATTAGAAACTTTCATATCTTTATCTAATGCAGTAAATAATATGGTGACTACAATGGAAAATATCAATGGTTCCTCCTATTTAAATAATCCAGAACTTATATCCACGCTGTTGGATAAATTTCCTGTAGTTCAAAAATATAATTGGGCAAAGTATAGACGACCACTAGAACTTCAAAATCAGCAGATTACCCTAAAAGACTTTGCAATTTGGCTGGAAGAAGAAGCTGACCTTATGTCTTGCATTAAAAATCCTTTCGACAGAAATAAGACTAGTTGTAAGAAAGAAAATGTTTTAGTATCTGAAAAAAGGCATGCTAGGTCGGTGCATAATTCAACCTTTGCTACAGGATGTAATTTCTGCAAAGATGACAAACATAACATACAAGAATGCGGTGTTTTCCTGGAAAAACCCATCGAACAAAGAAGAGATGTTGTTTTGGCACTGAAATTGTGTTTCCTTTGTTTAAAAGCTGGCCACGTAGCACAAAAATGTTTTCGAAAAAAAAAGATGTGGTGAAAACGGATGCAAAGGTAAACATGATAAACTTCTCCATTTAGAAAGAAAATTTGAACAAAAACCTGAAGAACAACCTTCTCCCAATTCAAATTTCTGTGGCAATCTAAATAAAGAAGACAATAAAACCGCCTTACTAAGAATTGCTCCAGTCAAAATTCGTGGGCCAACAGCAGAAATTGAAACCTTTGCTCTTTTCGATGAAGGTTCCACTTGTTCCATGATAGATGAAGATGTTGCAGAAAGTATAGGCTTAGCCGGACCCACACTTCCTTTGTGCTTTCAGTGGACTAATGGTATAGTTCATTTTGAAGATAACTCTAAGCTAGTCACTTTAGATATATCATCTGCAAATCTAAATCCAAACTACTACAAGATGAATGGAGTAAGAGCTGTGAAGACTTTAAAGCTTCCAACACAAAATATTAACGTTGAAGAACTGTATCATAAGTTTCCTTACCTCGATTCTACCATTTTAAAGTCCATAAAGAGCGCTATTCCCCAAATATTGATTGGACAAGATAATTACGGCCTTATTGTCCCTAGACAGATTATTCAACCAGATTTGCACGCTCCTGTAATGAGTAAATCTAGACTAGGATGGACAATAAGTGGTTCTGTCAATTTTAATAAAAAAAATCCTAGACACATTAACCTTTGTTGCCAGCATTTACAAGATCTTCACATTCTTGTTAAAGATAGCTTTAAACTTGAGTCTTTCGGTTTAAAACCTGAATCTATAGTTAAATCTGTCGAAGATCGGAAAGCATTGGACATCATGGAGAAAACGTTAACTAGAATTGGCGATCGTTTCGAAATAGGCCATTTATGGAAAGACGAAAACACTATTTTACCAGATAGTTATCCCAACGCCTATAATCGTCTACTTTGCATGGAGAGGAAGATGAACAAAGATCCTGATTTTGCAGTGCAGTACTGTCAGAAAATAAAGGACTATATCACTAAGAAGTATGCAAGAAAGTTAAGCCCATCAGAAGCTGCTGTTACTCCGAAGAAGACCTGGTACCTTCCTCATTTTGCGGTTTGGCACGCTAAGAAAAAGAATACTATTCGTCTTGTTTTCGATGCTGCTTGTCGTTCAGAGGGTAAAAGTCTAAATGATTTTTTGTTGCAAGGTCCTGATTATGTGCCTTCCTTGGTGGCAGTCCTCTGGCGTTTTAGACAAGGGAGAATAGCATTTAGCGGAGATGTGAAAGAGATGTTCCACCAGGTAGTAATTCGCCAGGAGGACAGATATGCACAGCGTTTTTTGTGGAGGGGTATGGAGAGAAATCGTGATCCTGATGTGTATCAAATGGATGTTTTAATCTTCGGCGCTGTTTCTTCTCCTTCCATTGCTCAGTTTGTTAAGAATAAAAACGCTTCTGAATTTGAAAAGGATTTTCCAGGTATTTCTAGGTGTATGAAGAGGCAACACTACGTTGACGATTATCTTGATTCTTGTTTTAATGAAGAAGCAGCTATAAAAAGGGTTGCTGATGTCATTTTTGTCCATAATAAGGCTGGATTTCAAATGGTTAAATGGATAACTAATTCTGAGAAAGTTTTAAGATCAATTCCTCTAGGATTAAGATCACCTTCTCAAAGTCAAATAAAAATTGATTCAGAAAAAGTTGAAAGAGTGCTTGGATTGTGTTGGTTTCCTAAATGTGATGAATTTATTTTCTCTTTAAATTGTGAAAAAATTCCGTCCGAAACAAAGATACCAACTAAAAGGGAAATTCTTCGATTTGTTATGTCAATATTTGACCCTTTAGGCTTTTTAGCTCCAATAATAATTCAGGCACGCATTCTAATGCAAGAAGTGTGGAAAGTGT